CGCCCAAACCCCCAAAAGCGATAGGACCCCCCCAACTCGTCTATGGCATCGGATTATTCAAGGAGTTTTGGCGAACGCTCATATAGGGTCTAGGGTTAAGGGTCTAAACTCCTTCCTTAAAGGGGGTTGTGTAGGGGATTATACAGGGCTTAAGGTTTAGGATTTAGGGTTTAGGGTCTAAACTCATCAAGGGGGGTTTATAGGGGATCATATAGGGTTTAGGATTTAGGGTTTAGGGTCTCACCTCCTTAAAAGGGGTAAATAGGGGATGAAAACGGGAAGCATTGTAAGGGTTATTAAGGGGGATACTAAAAGCTTAGGCTAAAGCTCTTATGACGTAGCCTTTCAGAAATGGAGAATCAAATGGAAAAGATAGTGGAACGTGAGACGGAAACGGGGGTTATATGGAGTGGTTAATTAATTGGGATTACCTTAAAGGCGGTCACACGGGCTATATATGGGTTCTAAGGATGTATAGGCGTAGGTGGGGATAGCTCGAGTGTAGCGTTTCAAGAATTTAGGACGGACTACAGTATTCTTGGGTATATGGGTACATTTGTGGAAAATCTCATGCCAGAGCAAAATGAGAACCATACGTTTGCGACATCTGCCATTTGGGATATCCAAGGCTCAGTTTCCCTACCTTAGACTTTGAAGCACCTGTCCTTGTAGATTTTTGTCACTAGGCTTCTCTCAAGATCCCCCCTGCCCACTAGTTGGCAGGTGATCCTAATTCAATTGCGCACAGGGACGGCTGCAGCCCCAGAGCAACTTACCATGACAGTCAAGACATGTAAGGTGGGAGGTAATTATCGCAACGTTGTTCGTTGTTACCCCAGTGTGTGTGCTGAGCTATGTTGTGTTGCTACATGTGCGGGATGAGTCTGCCCTGGCACCTCCTTCCAGCACATCAGACGGAGAAGCGTGAATGGTAGCAATCCTTCCAGTCTTGCTTTGTGCGTTTCAAATCCTAGGTCAAGCACCGCAAAGCCGTGTGCCTGCAGTCGCATGCTACGCCTTTACAGGCAAACCTGTTCTGTGCGTTCACCTTCCTGCCAGCTTTCAGACTTTGGCATTCCGTGTCGCATCTGGCGGGATCAGAGTTTCTGCAGGTCTTGCGATACTGACGCTTCTGTCTCTGAACATCATCTTGGACCTGCCAACAAAAGGCATGACCAGAGGAGGTGTCCTGTTTTGCCTGCCTTTTCGTGGAAGCACCTTGGATTTGTACTGTTTCACTACTGCCCCCGCATCTTGCATTTGCCAGGTCGCAGCCGTTCTGGCGAGAACTATGGCGCAGAGGTCTCAGAGAACGTCTTGCGCTGTAGCAGGAAATCAGGGCAAGGTCAGGGATGTCGCGGATGCTCACAAGGTCAGCCCTGAGAAGTTTGCCGCATCTGGGCTCGTGCTCGAGGATGACGAGGCTCCGCGGGCCTTTGGCCAGAAAGGTATCATGTAATCTGGAATGACTGGATAAGAGTCTTAAAGAGTGCTGCGATGTATCCAAAGTCATGTAGTTTTGCATCACCACACTGTGCAATGCAATTTGGATTGAACGGTGGGTTGGAATTAGCCTGATTACATACCCTTGGCAGCACCTCAGGCTTTGCGCCCCATGCTTCTATTTCTGCAGGGGGCTGCAGCACCGCAGTGGTTTGGGCAGTTGTAACTTGTAAAGTAAGATTGTAGTGATTGTAGTGCGTAAGCCCTCCCATACGAAGCTCTCCATGGAAGGGGCGCTCCCATGTCGTCGTCAAGAAGGACCGGTTCTGTGAAGTAGCTGTTCGAAGAGCAGACCCATCAGTTCCGCATCTGCTGGGTCTGAGCAAACCAGCTAGTATTTGGGCTCCTCTGTACTGTGCTTCAAGGGACTAATCCCCTCTTCATCGACAGGTACAACATAATCCGAGCAGTACAGGGGTTCCAGCAGAGGACATAGTGGTCGGAGTGGGCGAAGGTGACAGGCCCACAGCACCTGAGCTGCAGAAGAAATTGCTAGATTGTCACACAGAATGTAATTTCCCCTTCCCTCATGTAACTTCCGAAAAGAGAAAACTCCTTGACTCCTTGCAAGCCAGGCAGAAATCCGCAGTTGCATGGAAACCTCTAAGTCAGGTGCGAAAGCCCCGCCAAGCATGAGCTTTGTATCCGGAGATGGAACATGCAAGGTTGTGACCGAGAATTGCGTGTGGCATTCGTGTGGCATGAATACAGCATCTTGGCTGCAGTCTATGCCTATGCACAGTATGCTGCTATATGATGCCGATCTACAGTCCACGGTGTGCATCGTCAGGTTTGTAGACTTTCCGCAGAGGATGTTTCTATTGACGGCCAGCGCCCCAGCGATTGTTGACAGTCAGACTCCGGGGTATCATTCAAGTACTCATGCATACCGTTGAGAGTGTTATCATGACCACGGTCATTTTTCTGTGCTGCTGTTACCATCATTCTTGTGAGGGTTATGGTGATCAGTATTAACATGTAGTATGTGAAGACTTGAAGTACTGGACTCGTTCCACTGTGCGTCTGTCTCTGGCAGGTGACAAGACAGTCAATGCTACCAACGCAAGCAGCCTTCAAGAGTGCAAGCAGAAATGTGAGCAACTCGGCGAGGACCTGCTGAAAAAAACAGTATTTTCCCTTTTGCTTTAACGAGAAATAAGATGCGCATGATCATGATGAAACCTCATGTTTCTGTAGAGCACCATGGTGTGAGTGGGAGTTCAACAACACATGCTCTCGCCTTCTGCGAGGACAACTGCACTGGCGTTGAATACAACAACAGGTCTCGAAGGCGTGTCCGCTTCTGATCAGGTCGAGCGCCAGGTAGAACTATGTAGTTTATGAAAGGACCACTGCTTCAAAAATGAAGTTTTGCTTTAGCAGGCAGTTTGCCACAGGAATGACACTGTGTGTTGTACGGGAAGAGTGTGACCTCCCTGTAGATGCTGAGCTTAAATTGCTGTTATGAATCACATTAGCTTGGGTAGATTCTGAGAAATTCGGGTGCCGATAAGTCATCATTAGGGCACTAATAGAGCTGTTCATCATGACTGTAGATGGCGGTAGCAGTGCTAGCCATGATTTTGGGTTTTCCGAACTTTCGGGGTCCGCTGAGATCCCCATAATAAGGACTTTTGTATATTGGTGTCTATATTGAGGTCCCCTTGTTTTGGGTATACTGGGGTCCCCTTATTTAGGGCAACTACCGTGCTTACAGCAGAGGTTGAGTTGCTTTTAAGGAACTTCAAGTGAGTTACCAGATTATGGGTATGGTTCCCTCGTTACAGAGCTCCTTAACAGCAACCCTAAACCTTTTAACCTTAAACGCTACAGCATGATTCAGCATGCTGGATCTGGTGCCCTGTGCACATTCGTGCAGACATAAAAGTCCCCAGGGTTTAAGCCTAAACCCCAAATGCGTGACAGGTGCGAGCTTTGGACTCAGCCCATCCTGTCGCACAAGAGCTGCCTGACTGGCCATGACTGCCCCGAGGCACCAGAGGGGTTTAGGGTTTAGGTCTAGAGCTTAGCTCCTAGGGTTTGGGGTTTAGGGTTCGCCTTAAGTAGATAGAAGATCAGAATAAGACCCCCATACACCCCACATTCTATCTAGACTGCAGCTATTGCTATGGTCGTTTGAGAGTTTCGCAAAATCACCCCTACGGATGGGACATGTAAATAAGTCCTGAGGGTTCCGAAGCGCCGACTCTGTTGAGAACCACTGTCTGGCCTGTTAACGTACTAGTTACGAGATTCGTTTAAATGTTTGTTTTAGGCCTTTGCTTGCTTGCTTGCTTGCTTGCTTGCTTACTTGCTTGCTACCTACAGGCTTATGTAATAAGGTTTACAAGGAGCATCGCTGCATTGAGCTCCTGCACCCGGGATCATAAGCTACCCCAAATTGTGTCTGCGAAAGCGTTGCCACTTGATGCGAAGCCTGCAAGAAGAGCGAGGGAAGTGCAAGGTCGGGAGGGCTCGGCTTGTTGGATCCAACATGGTCATTCGGTTCAGAAATATTGGATTCAAGTCAACTCTCGTGGCGCCTAGAGCTGGGGGGTGTGCTTTTGATTTGAATGCCAAGCCCTGCAGGCAAACTATTCGTGCCACACGATGCAGTGCAAGGCGCCGTTCGTTTCTGCAGCGTTGTCAGGATTGGTCAATACAGCAACCTCATTTCCCACAGAAAGGACAGTGAGTATGATGCAGGTTTGTGATTGTGCTAACATGCTAAGACAGCGAGCAAGTATGCCGAAGCAAAACGTTCCAATCCAGAGAATCCTTCCTGGCAAACTTACAACCTGATTCCACTGCCCCGGTTTTTTCAGGACTAGCGGGCCAACTTGCTACAATCCTCATTGCACGTACCCCCCGCAAAAGTCCCCCAATTTCTGAAAACCCAACCCCTTTGAATTCGCAAATCGCCATAATCCCAGTTTCCATTTCATCTATGTACCCCATACAATCCCTGTAGCACCCCTATATATGCCCTTTATAAGCCCTTACTCCCTGTATGACCCCTGTCTACTGGTTAGGCGATCGACCACCCCGTGCGGCTGCGATCCTCGGAGCGCAGTTTCCAAGACAGTTTCGGGAGGAGCCACGGGGTTGGATGTACCGTGTGTACCTGCAACCCCAATTACTTGCGGTTTTACATTTTATGCTACTGTACCAAAGTGTAGGGGGTTACTCAGGTAGGGTTTAATTATGGGATTTAGGCCTTGGGGTTGATTAGGGGAAGACTTTCGCCAAGGAATTGCATTGTTGGGATGCGACGTGCTGCAGGCTTTCGTCCATCCATGTCACTTGCTGGGGATGAACATCTTATATGCATATGGTATGATCACAAATGGTCCGCACTTTTTCATACGCACTACTCAAGTCGCTGACAGCGCTGATTGGGTTGAACGTAAAAACTACACTAAGAAGCAGGCCCTGCCGATACCTAGACACCAGGCGAATGCTCAAGCAGCGATCACCATGCTCTGTTGACGGGTGCAGTTGCTAGTTGGACTTACATTGGCAGGAGCATTGGGATATCAGGCTCGCCGTTGCCTCTTGTGCTTGCCTAGATCAAGACCCTGCCACCGCTAACTGCTACGGTGAACGGACTTTGGTTTTGTGAATCAGTCAGCGTGCGTATGAACGCAGATACGCGCCTCTAGCCGCTCACACAGTGCCTGCAGGTGATACCGTTGTAGTCGGAAGCTTACCTCTCTAGCACTCTTGCCAGATTTGCATGTGGCCTACAAGGTTTCAGATGGAGATGGTGGAATAGATTCTCAGCATTCTCCCTGTGAGGTCGGTGCTCCTGGTGACAATGACCGTGGCGATGACAGTGGAGCTGCCTACGTGGCTTGGCAAGGGCTCCTGCAGTCTGCTGAAGCTAACAGTTTGGACATGCAATCCAGACTTCTAGCAATAATAACAGTAACCATCCAAGTTACAGTGATACTTCAAATAGAGATGCCCATGACATTTCCTAGGTTTTCATCCGCAAAGCGAATACTTTTGTGGAGCAGGCCTGGAATATATGATAATAATAGATAGTGATAGTAATAGTAATAATGACAATAGTAATAGTAATAGTAATAGTAATAGTAATAATAATAATAGTGTAATAGTAGGAATTTGTGCAAATTCCTGCCCTTATTCCCCCACATATTATAGTAGTTTCCATTTTCTTTTCCATTGTCCCAATACAACCCCAACATATTCCCTATATCCCCTATATAACTCCTATATACCCTACTTCCCCTTCCAATCTCTCTCTGCCAATTAGCGTTAACGCAGCATGCTAAGAAGTCCACCTCTCATGTAGGCCAAGCTTACAGCTGATGATGGGTTTCGCAACTCCTTCTTTGGCAATAGCGTCAAGATCTCAGTTGCTATTCTGGAGCGCGTGCACGTTCGTACCTTGGGCTGACAGCCTCTGAGTGACCTGAGCAAGCTTGAACAGAACTTCATTCGACTGCAATGAAAGCCCCTCTTTGGACGGTCCCAACTTGCAAGCTGAAGGTTCTTTCACCAGTCCGCCTTGTTGCAGGATTGATGCAGAGTATGCTGCTGAGGTCAGCATTGCAGGTTGCAGGATTTTGGTGGGTGCCTACCGCGACGGTTTGAATGGAAAGAAGGACCCGCAGCCTGTTGTAAGCGGTTGCCTTCTTACCAGTTGAACAGCCATGAAGAAGCTTTCACAAAGAAGCCAAGGGGGTGTTACAAGCAGCGTTTTGCTGCTAGATGGAGAGTCGGGAAGAAGATTCTAGCAGTCAGACAGGTTCACAGCTCTGGTTGCCACCCAGGATAGTGGCTCAGCCTATGTGTTTCGTCGGGATTATGATGTAGCTTGGCTGCAAGCCAAGGTTCGTCATGAGCTCTTGCTCCCATGGTTACAGGTCAGGGGTAGCAGAGAGGTGTTTTGCCTGGATTGTTCATGGCTTGGAGCAGGGCTGTTATCACTTCAAATGCTTCGCCCCCGAGAATTGTCCTTTCCACATCCATTTTGGCATCCCTTCAATCTGGAATCTGCAGCTGGTAGCCCATCATTGCCAAGCAAGCTGTGCTTCCTCTGCGGCTTTTCCAGCTGCCAATCCAATCAAAAGGTTCTGAACAAGTTCGCAGGCCTGGCCAATGCATGCCATGCCAATGCAATCCGGGACACATGGCAGGGAAGATGCCAGGTTTGTGTTGAGATGGCTTGCCAAATTACGAAATCAACATGGGTTGTAGTAGGTACCATGCAGTCTCTGGATGTCACCTGTCAATCCTTGTGGAATCTAAGGTCTGGGAACAGGAAGCCAAGCTATCTCCACAGGACTGTTGCCATTTCGATAGCAAGAGTCGAAGCTTACAGCATGGACAGCTCACCGCACTGCTTACAGACGAGGGACTCCTGTTTTCTTCTCTGCTGACGAATGTGATGAACTTGCTGCTGTCAGGTAGATATTGTTACTGGTAGCCTGGTTCTCCTTGCCAAGCTGTTTTTTTGCCTCTCAATGCTGCTGCCTGACTCTGTGCTGCAAGGCTGCTAAAGTGGCAGTGTTTCCCTGCTGTTCCCGGTAGTCATCTAACCTGACCATGTCGTTGGAGGATGCTGTGGAGAATGAGCGGTTTGGGTCCAGGCTCCCTGAGCAGTGAAGCTTTGGCAAACACATATTCTGACAATATTCTGATGGTGCTGTAAGGCTTATACCTTATAACAGTTTTGCTCATGTTGCTTCATAGGCTTTGTTTTGGAGCCGGTAGTCTTTTCCATTCTTTTCTCAAGTGTCTCTGCTGCGAGAATTCCGTGCCCTGCAGGGTCAGCCTTTTCGGGGACATGGCCGTCATAACGTCAGCGGGAAATGGCGCCAAGAACGAGTCTGCTGCAGTCTACGTTTTTCATGTAACAGGCAAAGAGTGGGTCCGGCACTTAGCATGCATGCATCACCACATATGATCGCATCCCCTGGGCAGCTGAAGAGTCATCTGGGTTCCTTCGGTGCAAGGTCCTGAAGGCCAAGCTCCCCTTTCCCAAGAATGCAAGGAGCCTGGAATTGCCATTGGCACATGCAGACATACATGCATCCTGTTTTTGGACCGCAGGGTATCACAGATCCACACGCATCTCCTGGCCCAATCTGCCGAGTTGAAGAACAGCTCCAGCTTTGGGTCCAGCCTCAGCCAGAGCAAGGACGCCATCATGATCGGAGCTGAGGAGGACACGTGAGCAACAGGGAATATATTGGGATAATGAAAAATCAAAAATGGAAACTGCTATACTATAGTAGGGTATATCTTGGGGTTATATAGGGAATAGACTCCGTGCAACATTGTCTTGGATCCGTTTGTGTATTGAAGTTGTGCATTTTTGCCTTGCAAAACGGTACGGTGACGGCCAACAATGACAACTCCAGGTCATGTCTCCAGTTTCCCCGAATCCTGCGTAGCGGCGTAGCGATAAGATTCTTTATGCAAAGTCTTCAAACCCTGCAGAACGAGAAGGTAGCCGTGAAAAGCGATACTGTAGAGATAACAAACATATTGGAAGGGGTGGTTCAAGGGCTTGACCGCAGGCAAAAGCAGGGCAGCAAGTAGACATGTTCTTGGGAGTGCTTACGGATTTTTGCGTCCTTTTGGTTGAGCGAGTCCAGGACGATGCTCATGGTAAGGCCAGTGGGGCTGTGTACGCGTATAGCTCCAACGGCACCAACTGGCGGCAGCCTCGGAGGGATGTTCCCTGGGTCATGCCAGGGAAGTACGATGTGTGCTTCAGATCCGCGAAGTGTTCAGAGGTGTGCTGTCTTGCTCAAAGCTAGGTCTCAACCAGTCCGGATCGTTGGCGCAGACACAGCGGCTGGAGACCACTTTGGCTGCAGCGTGAGCTTGCAGATGGCTAAGCGCAGAAAGTCCACCCCATGCTAGCAGTGCTGCCTGTGGATAGGGAGGGCCTGCAGCTCCGGATGAGAGCAGAAAGACACGAGGTCGGAATCGGGCAAAACCTGCCTTATTGGTGCCTATGGGCACCGCGCCAAGGGAAAGCTGCGGGCTCAGGGTTGGGCCCAATTTAGTGGCAGGAATCTGTAGCTTCCTCAGAACTCCTTGCAAAGCTATGGCTACGCACCCTTGAATGTGCAACCCCAGTACGTCCTCAGCCTCAGAGTCCCGAAGGGACCGCCAAGTTTGAGAACTCCCTTGGAATCTGCACCCACATGTTCTGCCCAGGGGTAGCGGGGCAGCCTATGTCTTCAAGCGGCACAAGGGGTTGCCAGTCCGCAACATGAGCTCAGATCTTGCTGATGTGCAAATATGATCAGTAATGATGGTACTATGAGTCATAGGACGTCAACATTTTCACAAAAGTTCTATCTACAGGTAGAGGTAAAGGGGCTTTGGAGACTACCGTCCGCAGATCTAGCTTGGGTTCGCATTTTTTCGGTGCGTCAGGCATTGGGTGCAGCAGCATCAACTTGCTCCGGAGGTGCACCGCAAGTCATCAGAGCATTGGTGCAAAGCCTCACCATTGCATATTACAATTCCAGTCATGGGTCGGTGTGGAGTGCTCTAACCAGATAGTCCCAGGTGAACAGGATTTCCGCACTGAACGATTAAGATGATTGAAGAAGATTGTGGGGTTGTGAACGGCTTGCATCAAATTTATCACCTACATACGCTATTGGAGGCATACGAAAGCAGCACTTTGCACACCGGGTTTCATGCAGAACGCTTGCCAAACTAAAAACAATTCAACAGTGCTTGCGTCACGCGGGGGCTTTTTCTCTTCTATAGTGGCAGCCGCATTGCGGCCTGATGTGCATAAGCGGAGCAGCCCTGCACTTGCAAAAAGGACCTGGATGCTGACGATGGCTTCGGCAAAAGCGTCAGCACTTCTGATTCTATAGCGCTGCCGACCAGATTCCTGCCATGAGGGGTGCATATATTTTGGACAACACCGTGCTAGAAAATCTGACGCTCTGCCCTGTTTGTTGTTTGCAATAGAACATTGACGATGCCCCAGCAAAATTGCACTGAAATCTTTAGGTTGTCTGGTTGAGGAGGCTCATAGACCTGGAATGCAACGCAGAAGGTGTGGCAGCTCTGATACCTGCAATTGTCCATGCTAAAAGGCAGACATTTCGCCCATTTCATGTTTGGACAGAGGTCTTTAGCTTCAGCCCTCAACAGTAACGACTCCCCTGTAGTATGCGCTGTCAACATCTCCTCGGTCCGCTGACAAGAGGAAGTACGGCCCTGACAACCGTGTTTCCCCAAGTTTAACAAATCCACACTCTGGAGATGCAGCCTTTCCTGGAGCGGGCTGCCTGGGGCAAAGTTGCGCATTGCCCCAGAGTCTCTGCATTCTCAGCCTCCGGCAGAGACCTACTGTAGAAAAGCATCAACTTACGCGGTTTTAAGAAGTCTGGCGTGCCTCTTGGCAGCCGACTTGGAAGACTCGCCTTTGGATACATACCCTGAAACCTGCATGACCTCGAGCAATGATCCTGCATCTCCTGAATCCTGGAAGGTCTGGTCTTTGGAGCCAACTGTTGGGAGTTTCATCTGTCGGGCCGCGTGCCAGGCCGCTATCGGGGCCTTCGGTGACGAACACGGAGGAGTAGACCGAAGTGGTTCGGCGTACATCTTTGTACGAGCAGGCTGCTGTACTGGAACAGCTCTTCCAGAAAAGGGATCGACTTTTTGAAATGCCCCAGGCCCCGATCCTTAGCCCCAACGTGTTCCGCGCACACAGGACACGGCTCTACATATTCCTACATAACCTCCACACAATACCTCTAAGATTTTAGCAGTGCAGTTCCCATTCAGGGAGATTGCTCATGCAGGTCAGAAGTGGGTGCAACAGACCAAGCTGGCGCCGGAGAAGGCCTTCAGTTCTTATGTGCAGTAGGCTTTGGGGATTTTAGGGTTGAGGAGAGTGTTAAGGCTGAAGACTTTGTTGCAAGGATTTTGCAGGTCAGGGCTTAGGAGGTGGGATTTAGGTTGTGGACAGAGCTAGGCTTTTGGGATTTACCTTACTTGTAATGTTAACCAACCCTGCAGGAACCCTCAAGCTTACATCATGGAGCCTGAGCTCAATTACGTCGTTGCGCTTCGCATCATGTCAGCATAAACTAATCCCCCTCTCATATCTTTCGTAGCAGTCTCGTCGTTCCTTCAGATTGTACAGCTTTGCTGCGACTGACGCGATCAGCACTTGTTCGCCCGCACTAAAACAAGATGCGCTGAAGTGGAGAGATGGTCTTGCTTGTGCCAGCGCAAGGCGAAAGCAGGCGCCGAGTTTGGACTTGTTGCGGGCCCGGCTTTGCATCCCATACCACCAGAATCCCTTCCGAAAACTGGATCCTAATTTGGGGAGCTGCCATAGTCTGCCATGTCGCAGACTACTCACCCTAAATCCTCAACCCCAAGCCCTCAACCGGAGTATCACCGCCTATCAAGGTCGCTAGCATATCTGGGCACATGGCAACCTTCTCCAGTGCAGAGCAGGCGCTGATTGAGTTAGCTCCATTCAGGAAGCTTAAAGGCTTATATGGTAGGGTTTAGGAGTTTAGGGTATACCAGGGTATATAATACAGGGGTATATAAGGTTACACGGGATACCTGCTATGGGGTATACAGCGTTGGCTACTATAGGGATTCTTAAGCTAATGTAAGAGAAAATGCAATGTACTATATCAATTCGCAAAGATCCTTAGCAATAAGATGGCGAGCAATAGCAAAGCAATGATGAAGAGCACCAGCCATAATTACAATGATGATGAATATGGGGGTTTCCCAAAATTAGGGCTACCACTTTGGGGATCCTCATGCTAAGGATTATAGTATTTTGGGGTCTATATTGGGGTCCCTTTCTTGGGCAAACTACCACATGAGCCTGTTTGTCACCAGAATTGGGATCGAGCGCCTTGACAGCAGGTTTTTGTTTTCCCGGCGTATCTCACCCAGGCAGGGGACTGCGATACTGTTGATACTGCAAATCCTGCATGACTTTACTATACTGCAATACCATAAGTCCCAAGGTGTAAGGTACTCGGGTCATGTAGGATTTGTAGTATCCACCGTAGTCTTGCTTTGGTCTAACGGGGAATGCAGGAATTTCTGCCCTGCGGATGTGTTGTGTTTTTTGTTTTCTTTTTGTGTGTGTTTGTTTGGTTTGGGCGATCTTTGGAGCCCAGAACCTGAAATAGTTAGTTTCCGGAACGGGTGCCTTCAAAATCTCCCATGTGGTTCGGCACTCTTCGTGGAACCGTTCAGGGAAAATCGGCGTCATGCGTTACAGTTTCCAACAGCCCCAGCAGCAGATGAGGACACGGATGTTTGAACGATATGCCGCTGCAAAGCGAGCCAGTCACTGTAGCCCAGGTTTGTCCTTCCACACAGCGTTGAGACAATGTCGGAATCGAGGCCTGAGGGGGCCATTGGACAACTTCTTGCAACTCACCAGTCGCAATCTCTACACCTCACTACCCCAGATCGCAGGTCTTCGTTTGGCTGTGACATCTGAGATGCACAAGTCGTAGCTCTCTTTTTAGGTTCATGAGGAGAACCTGACGCAGTCCGGGAAACCTGCTACAAGCGAACCACTTTCTAATCTATTGCGAATTAGTTTGAATGCGGTAGCTTGATTTGTGTCATCTTGTTTTGGCAAGTTGGGTACCCGGACTTGCCAAATTAGCGCAGTGCATTGGCAAACGCCTGAAATGCTCATCCACGCTGCCTTGCATCACAGTCACTAATTTGAATATGAAATGTGCACAAGAAGCGGGAGTGCCCTTCGGCAAAGGGTCGGGGTGAGCTGGATGCCAGCAACAGTGAGTTGGCACACTGGATTGAAGATGTAGCGTAGGCCGTGTCAAAGTGGAGAAGGCCACATGTTGCTCAAACAGAACCAACGTTGCATTGTTGAATGGATGGTCACAGACATGTATGGGGTGATGTGTTGGCATTGCTTGTACGCGTTGAAGACAGCGCACACAGCGCAAGGCAGGTAAATGCACGCTTAGGCTCCGCATCCTGGCCACTGTTGCAGCTGGGAAAATGCGGATCCCACATCTAGAGCAGAGGGAGTTGGGTATTTCTTTGAAGAATGACCCCTGAAATGCCACTCTCCTCATTAACAGTACTCTCCTTATTAACAGTACACGAAAAAGGGAATCACAATTTTGAGAAATGCCCAGACGATGGTAGGCGACCCTGCTAGCCGCTTGGAGGTCTTTGCCCTTCCTTCCTTGCATGTCAATGCCAGATTACAATGCCTGAGTTTGCAAGGGAGTGAATCTATCGGTTGGGGGGAAGGGCAACGTCGAGAATGCTCGAATCTCCATAGACCAAGGCCGCACGGAGGAAAGATGCGACAGCTTGATGGCTGCTCACTGCTGATTTGCTGCCGCAGGCTCTCATTTCAGCGGCCAGCATCCTAATATCCAAGGAATCTTTGTAGGACTTGAGCAGGCGATCCAAATCCAGCATTCTGAGATTGTGGGATCTTCCCCCCCTTGCGAAACCACGTGTTCCAAAAGCCAGTGCCGATCAGAGCTGCCCAAGTCCAAGTCGGATGCTGGTCTACAATCTAGCACTAAGTTGCATGCATGCTGAACTGAATTCGTTCATGTCCTGCAAGCATCGTTGCTCGCAGCCTTTCGGCCCGAGCAATACACCAGGGTTAGGCCAATCTGAGTGGAAGCAGCTACTTGTAAGGCAAACGACAACAGCACATGTTGCAACAGTATGTATCATAGCCATTGCGCGCACTTCCGTTGTGACCGAAGAGTTCTGTCATGCCCATTGACATCAACTGGCTGCGCACAGACAGGTTCGATTTCATCTGAAGTAAGCACTTGGTACCGCCGCCTGTACTGGAAGCAGAACTGCATGCAGTGACTCTGAATGCGTGGAGGTCTGGCGACCCAGACCTGGTTCGGCAAGCCCAGCGTGAGCGCTTCAAGGTGGATGGAGAGTCGCCACTTGGCCAAATCAAAGACCATAGTTTCACCATGTTTCACCTTAGTAGTTTCCATTTTCTTTTCCATTATCCCTATACTACCCCAATATACTATAGTAGTTTCCATTTTCTTGTCCATTATTCCCTATGTCAGCCTGAGCTGCAGCCAAGGCTCGTGGACACGGTGCTAGAGCTGGACAGGTGCCTTGTCGCATCCCGTCTTGTCAAGGGGCCGCAGCCAATGCGTGTGCATCATTTGGGGAAGATCCCTCGTCAGCCTTAAAGTTTAAGCATAGGCTGCTGGTCTCAGGATTTGGCGGGAGAAAACTACTCGCGGGGAAACTCAGTGCAGAGAGTCGCTGTCGCAAGTGGAGGCTGCTACGACGGCGCAGTCATGTCAACGCTTGCACAATCAGGGACAATCAGAAAGCACTTAATTAATATGGACCAGACAGCAGGATATGTGCAACTACTTGCGCCTCAAATTTGTTTTTGCAAGCTATGAGGCACAAGGGAGCTACAGACACAACTGAACGTTTTGCAGAAGGCGTCTTTGACATCCATGTTGGGGTTTCAATGCTCTATGCGTGTTTGCATTTGACTGTGCTGCACCGTCGTTTCCAAGACTCGCGGATGCCTGCAGCAGGAAGTCATCGCAAAGAAGAAGAAGCTCAAGGAGAATTGCGATGCGGAACTGCAGGAAGCTTCCTCACTTCGTGAGCAGCTGAAACAACTAGAGCTGGAACCCTAGTGGTTGCATCTGAACATGCAGACCATGATTTACTTGACGCAGAAATCAATCTGGCCTAAGACTGAAGCGCTCTTGAGGCTGGACACCGTGAACTGTGAGAAGACTCGGGATGAAGCGCTTGGCAAGCTCGGCAGCCTTCCTTAATTCGGGCGCACACCGGGAGCAAGTAGAAGCCAGTTTCCTGATCGCTCATTAAGCGCTGCAAAGGCAATTTCGTAGATCCACGGGTTCCCATCTCGCCAGATGAAGCTGACAACCAGGCCGCCTGGGCGTCAACAGGCACATTTAATTTGATCATTATGCTTGAATAGAGGGATCGTTTGTCGCTGTGCAGTCTTTGCATCATTCATCGGGGGAAGAAGGGCAGCACACTGTGGTCCATCCGGGCACAGAGTGATTTAGTAACATGGAAGCAATAGCAGGACCATTGGTTTACGGAGCGGGGAAAAGCGGCTTCGCAGCAGGTCATCAGCGCATGGCCTTCGCAGCCCACGGAGAAGACGTCAACATCACCAGCTGCGCACTTGGAAGAAGCCGCACCCATTTCGGACATGTTGTCTTTTGTGAATCCTCCTTCTGGCCTTCACAAGCTCAATGTGCTCAGATCTACTCGTTTCTGACGTACTTTGGATATGAGGGCTGCGAAGTGGCCTAGGGATGCTGCACAAATGTCCGGGCTAGCTCAAGCTTCATGACATGAAGTGTATGGGAGCTGTTTGTCACACATGGGCACGCGCAGTAGAGGGGTGAGAGGGCAACGACTGGCAGCTAGGATGGTAAATAGACGGACCAGTGTGAGATGGTCTTGCGCCCCTGAGGTCTTTCCAGTTCTCAGTCATGATGACTTGCTTTGGCGCAATCCGGCTTGCAAGAAGAACAGCAGAGAGGAATGCAGAAAGAATAAGAATGACGGCATCTAGCACTTTTCAGTTTTTCTTTGTGAGGTATTGGAGGTTATGATCCGGAGCGTGGTTGCAAAGTTGCAGGACGGCCACACTTGCACGTGGACCCTGCCCAGATACAACCTGACAGGAACCCGTGGCTACTTCCTGGAAGATGCAGGAAACGTATTGACGGGTCCAAAAAGATCCGGTTTGTTGTAGCAGATGAGTTGCAGGCGTTCTCTTGAACCAAGCCATCATCAACTTCGGCCTGGCTTTTCTACGTGCACGCTGCTTGCTCTCAATCAATAGTAGCAATAACAACAACACTAATAATGATGAATAGTAATGATAGTCATAATAGTAATAGAGCCAGAAACTTGAGGAGGGGCTTGCGTTGGGCTGTCATGCCTCAGGTGGATATCGTGCTGTGCAGCCACCTTACTTCATGAGGAGCCATGGAATAGGAAGCTTACATACATCCGGTGCCATGGGCTGTTCCACTTCAGAGCTCTTTATGATGGGACCAGGAGGCGGATTGCCCGCCAACTCTCAATTGAAAACCTAAAGTCCCATCGAGTTGCAACTCTTGCATGACGTGTCTTAGACGTCTGGCTGCTTACAGGAAGGAGCTCATGGCCGAAGTGGCCCAGCTCGATGATTTCGATCAACAGCTGTACAAAGTCACCAAGGGTGGACAAGGACCGGTGCAGATGGTGTTGCTAGGTTTTCCATCGTGTTGTCATGATACACAGGAGAGGGCGCCGAAGAAGCAGAGAAGGTCGGGCGCGGGCTCCTAAACGTTCCACCTGTAAACCACAGCTTCATTCAGAGCATGTTGTACCTGAAGTTCATGGGGTAAGCCTTGCCCTGCTTGCCCTGGTAGTACCTCATCGCCACATCGGAGCAGCCGCTTTGTGGTTTTCATGCGCCCCTTGCCTGAATGCATGGCTTAGCACCTAGAAACACTAGGAATCAAAAGGGGGGAGACCATCGAAAGGCTCTAGGCATTGTGGTTATGAGTTCATGCTGTGCTGGACTCTGAGGAAAGAGGTGCTGGACGCAGACAGCCTTCCCTTGCGCTATGCCGGCCTGTCCACATGCTTCCGGACCGGGGCAGTCTCTGCAGTAGGCTTGTTAAGTTTTTGCATACTCTCTCCATCAGTCATAGTTTCCCTAAATGGGAGTACCCCAATATAGACCCCAAAGTAATATAATCCTTGTTATTGGGACCCCTATTTTGGAAAACTCTCAAATCATCCAGCGGCAGGACTGAGCTGGGTAAAGCCGGCAGGGAAAATCGTGGTATCTTCCGGGTGCACCAATTCGAGAAGGTGGAGCAGTTCTGCATCACGGCTGCTGACCCGGAAATGTCACGGGAGATGCATCCTGAAAGCAGTAGTCAGGAGCATTGGCCGAGCTTCCTGTCTCGGCTTGCGATGATATGAAAGTCCATGCATCCATGGGGATATCAGAAATTCGACTCCCATCTGTCATGCTGAGGCATTCCGAGATGCTCCGTTGTGCGGAGGAGTTCTACCAAGCGCTTGAGATTCCTTACCGCGGCTCGACACGGAAAACTCGCGGTCCGAAGATCTTGTTGTCCGCCGGAGCCACGACTGAGCTCAACTAGCTGCGACAAGCTCAGGTGTTGTGAACGTCGTATCTGGAGAGTTGAATGATGCAGCCTGGAGCTGAATGAACGATTGTTTCTCAGCATGTCCGGACAGCTCGCTGTTGCCACTTTACAGGAGGCTTGCATTTCCTATGCTCTTGCAGGCAACCATGAAGTATGACCTGGAGGGCTGGTTTC